TTGCTGCTACAAATGCCATCGCAAATAGAAGATCGCTTGGAAATGGATCCACCGCTGTGGCATCAGATTAGCTTTTGGAGAACATTCTTTTAAGATCATTTCATCCTCTCACAGATACGCAAATGAATGAGTCATGCTTTAGAGAAGGCTTTGCTCATAAATATTAATACATTTATGTGTTTTGGTACATCTATTTGTGTAAGCCTTCCAAAACGTCCAAAACCTAGACAGTATTTTAAGACATCATAGGTGCGCTGACAATGTAATCGGTCTCAAGAGGTCTAAAATACTTCTTATTTGGCCATAATCAAAGGCAGCACTACAGGTATTCTTTGCAGAGAAGACAATCCCAGAATGCATTGTGATGAATCAATACTTAAAAATGATTGATTTTTAAATATATTTGTTAACTATGACATACTATTTTACAAAATTTTTGTTTATGAAGTATTTTTATTCTCAATAGACTGTCATATTGTTAGCTTAGCAACATGCTAATGTCAATATCAACTGGAATTAGTTGTGTGCTCCTGTGCACTATTTGTATGGTGCACAAAGTTGCTTCCTGCAGAAAGTGTGTAGTTATGAGATTATGAGATTTACTTGCTCACTAGGTTTTGGAACAGAAATAAATGTTTCATAATTAATATTCATGAGCTATGACTTCACAATAGTAGGATTCATTATTTTGCCACCTGTAGGTCCCAGTGAATGATAACAATGTTACTTCTTTATTTGATCATCAAATGAATTTGGCTGCCCAGCACATCCAACCGACAGGCCCCCTCCCTGAATCTGTTCTGCTGCAGTAATCAATCTCCATTATGATCTCATCAGCTGCTCTCGAATAGTTATGTATACAGTCCTCTGCCACAAAGTAATGACCAAAGAAGAATTATTTAGGCCTTGGGGTTTCAAGCTCAATGAGGCGTCACAGCATTTCGTCTTGGGTCACTGACTTTTACGGTTTCAGATACGACTGGATGATTATATTGAAGCATGTGGATCATTTTGACTGTTTTGTTTGTTCTACCTATAGATATACAGCCATATGTAAGCACAGCAGAAAGAAAGAGCCACGCACTGCAGGTTTATATCATATTTAATAATAAAAGTTCTGCAGCAAAGTGTATCGGAGAATTCAGTGGAGGAGACTTCAGTCCAAATGTGCTTAAGTTTATCACATCCATCTGTGTGCTGTATAATTCCCTTAGTATTGATGTTTATTACTTCTACCAAGGTCACAGAAAGAGTGAAATAATTTGAGAAGAACAAGAGATGGAGAGGAGAGTTGAGCTAGTTTAATAAGAGACAGGACAACAGAAGAGTGGAAAAGGAAAAAGGAAACAAAGATAAAAATAGAGAGTAGCAACCTTTTCCTTCCAATAAGTAGGTTTGCTCTCTCTTTTGCTCTCTCTGGAAAGGTTAGGTTGACCCTCTGAGACTCTACAGTGTCATACAAATTATACCACTGTCAAACTCCATCATCCTTGACTGTTGATAGTTCTTTGTTTTTTTTGGTGAACCACGTAAAGGTTTTGTATTCTAGTATGAAAAGGACACTTTACAATCCAATCAAGTTTTTATTCTTTTCATATATCCTGTTTACTATAAAAAAATGTAAAAAAAAGGCTGGAGCCCTGCATGCTGAAGAAAAACTAGATATTGTGGCCACAAATTAAGAATTAATTCTCACGATTTATTAATTTGTGGCCACATTTCATTACTTTGTTCCCTTGTTTTAGTTAAATCGTGGCCACATTGTACTGATTTGTTCCCTCATTTTAATTAAACCCTGGCCATGTTGTATTAATTAATTTTCTGGTTTTACTTTATTCGTGGCCATTATTCATTCCCTCATTTTAATGAAATCATGGCTATGTTTCCTCATTTTAATTGAGTTAAATAATGGGCAATGAGGGAACTAATTAATAAGTTATAACAATTTTTTTTGTGTCCAAAATGTCCTATTTCCCCCAATCTGCAGGGCATCATTTTATGAAAATAAAATGGGTTTGTGAAAGCTGCTTCAGTTTGACTATACCTGTGCACTGCAGATCAAAAATCATTCTGATTTTAAGCTCTTTATCTTTTTGTAGTTATTCCTTACTAAGTACTCAGTGCTCTATTGAAATAATTTATTGATAATTGATGTTTTCATCAAACAAGCCAACATTTTTTTTAAGGCACAGGGTGCTGACTAGATGCCACAGTGTTTCTTCAGAGTGTATCCTAATTGATTCGGCCCTTTAAGAGCGGACAACAATATGTTTAAGTCTTTCAAAGTTGCAGATGTTGTGATCCGTGCTGATTACTGCTAAGCGGTTTAAAGCCCTGCCGAGCACAGCTGAATTGCAGCAGATAGATGGGGGGGTGGGAAGGATGAGGATGGGGGGTGTGCTGTCAGACCATTGTGCTGACTTAGAAAGGAAATGAGAGTGTGTCGACCTACAGATGAGATCTGGACTGGGGACAGCAGGGTGAGGCTAGGGCATGGACAGCAGCAGAGGGGAATCCTTGTCACATAATGATATACACTCTTATGTGAACCTGATGGATGCCCATAGGAAAGAAATATCACAGATGATATTTAATATTTCAGTTGTTTCTCACATGTGCTTAGACTGTCAGAAGAGCTCTCAATAATGTCTGAAACTGTGCTCAGATGTGACTGCAGACTTTTGAGATGAACTCAATATGAACCTTTCTCAAAGGCCAAATGATCTATCCACCTTCATTTTATTATCTCTATTTTATATAAGGGGTAGAACTCTATTTAATATTTTATATAGAATTTTGAAAACTTTCCAGGATTTTTGGGAATTTTTTGGAAAGTTTTCAGGAAGTGACAGACAACATAACTGCAGTGTGCACTTAAAATGAACAGAACATTATTGTGCATTGATGTGAATGCTATAGTTATAGTTATGATAACCGTTTTTGATGTGAACAGGCCTTTACTGTATTTAGACAATTGCCTTGTTTTTTCTTTTAGGGAATTTTAGGGGAAACATCTGAGATATTTAAATGAAGAATAACCAATAAAATGTTCCTTTGATTGTTCAGCTAAAGGTCTGAAAATGTGAGATTCAACTTTAGAGGTCTGTATTTTTTCCTTCCCATTGTTAATCAACATCCCTTGCACACCTGATATTGTGTGCATTACTATCATATCTAATACATTTCTTCCTGAATAATGATTTCCTATTGGACAACAGTGGGTATTCTTGTTTGGTATCTTAGAAAGTGTCATGTTCATGCCTGTTCCCCTTTCCTGTGATACTCTTTTCTTCTTTCCATTATGAAAATTATAGACTGAATTTGGGTACAGCAAGATCAGCATATGTGTAATGTGTGTGTATATCCACCCTTATTAATCTCTGTTTCGATGGATGTTACTGGTTGGATGGCCTCTGCCAACCTTGAACTGAAACGACTGAATAAAACGGACTGTCCCTCTATTTCTCAGAAGGCAGGGCTTAAGAGGAAGGCTTGATTAGATATGTACTGCAGGCTGGTGCAGTTGTCCTGGGTCAGGCATGAAGGATTCAAAGACAGGCAGGGTCATGCTTTATGAAACGCACTGTGTGGCTCAGTAGCTCAGATTTATGAGGGACGTGCATGGATTTCAAATATGAATGAGTGTGTAATGAAGGTATTTAATATGTAGTGATATAGAAAATAACAGGCTGCACAATTTGAGCTATCATTCACTTTGCCTTGACTTATACACCCCTATACATGGAGAATGCCTTGCGTTTATTACCAGTTCAGGAGGTAGAGAGAGACGTCATGCCCATTGGATGTCATGCGAGTACATGTACGTCTGTCATTGTTCATTTACACCAGAAAAGTTGTGTAAGTGCCTTGTCTTTTCAAAGTGTCTGCGCTGATACTGCTCTCTGTGTTACATACTGTGTGCACATTTTTTTGTTATTCCATTTAATCATTTTATTAAGCCAGTTTAGACAAGTGTTTGATGGATGAATGGAAGGAATATGTCTCAGCACCCTATAATTATTTCTGTCCCTATGGAAATGTGCATTGACGTACTAATGTAAAGAATGAAAGTTTTGTTTTAGGGCAGCTTTGATAACTTAATATGACTTAAAAATTTACTATCACAACTACAATGATGCCACCACCAGCCAGTTTGAGCTTTTATGGCCTTCAAAAACACTTGTTTAATTTTAAGACCCTTGCACTAGGTAAAAACATAAGCAATATTTCAGCAGCCAGACGTTTGTACTTGAACCCACTGTGGCTGATATGATGAAATTGAAAAAAAAAAAAACACTCCCTATATAATAAATGCAATACTACTTTTTTTTTTAAACATGCTTAAAAGAACTGACTTGTAAGAATCATTAATATGTGATTTAGACTATTTATAGATTGCAAGCTCACAACTCAAAATATAAGTTATAAAATTATAGTTCAGACTTTAAATTCTGACAGAATTTAAAGATTTAAATTCATAGCCATTGTAAAATAGCAATATAACAATTAATCAAAAATACAGTAAAAAATATCAGGACTATTTGATGAATAGCTCAACAGCATTTATTTGAATTAGATATTTTGTAACAATGAATAACAATAATATTAATATGATAAACTTATAAAAAATGTATTATTATGATTAATTATTATTAATAATATTATTCATATTAATGACACAAATGATTTATTAATTAAACATGGGTGTTATTAAATCACTGCGCTGTGTGGCTTATTCTTTCACTGTGCCGTTATGGATTCAGCAGCAAATAGTGGTGTAGGAAACACTGCTTTGATATTGTGTTCATGAGACTAGTGCAGCTCTCTGGCCTGTGTTATTTATGCATTTAGTGTTTGAGATTTGACTCATTCGCCCTGGGTAGCTTCTCACTCTTTCTCTCTTTCACACTGTCTTAAGGTCTTCTGTAATTTTGTTCCTGCTCAAACTAGGTCTTTTGTTCCTTTTTTTTTTTTCTTTTTACAAGGCATTGCCTAAACAGAAGAGGCAGCATGTAGGTACCCCGACACAACACAACACACACGCCTGAAATGGCTGCATGATTCACCTCTTCTCTCTTCATTTGTCCTTTTATTTTGATTTTCTTATTTTTTTCTCTCTCTTGTACCACAAAATGATGTTGAAATTAGAAAATTGTGTGCTAACAACATTTTCTTTTTGGCATCTTTTGACGTTTTCTGATTTGTTTTCTCATGTTTATTAAACATGCACTTGCAATATGCTTTTACTGTTTCCATTGAATACTTTGTTTTATTTTGTTTGGTATGCATCTTGGAAGAATATTTTAATATAACTTTTTTTCTGTGTGATCTTTTATTTATTTATTATTAAACAATATGATTTGATATTTTATGGTGTTTTTATTTAATTTACTGTATTGTGTTCATCAGGTACTTTCTTGCACCTTTTGCTTGACTGACAGCCCATCTTGTTCATCATTTGTTTTTATTTTTCTCTCTACCTCCTTTTTTCTCTTCCCTGCACCCTTGTCAGACTGCATGGTGTCCTGATATCAGGTGCAAAAGTATTACAGTGACAATTTAATCTATTTCCTCTTTCTATCTCTCTCTCTTAAGGGGATGTGCTTTTTCAGATGGCGGAGGTTCACAGACAGATCCAGATGCAGCTAGAGGACATGGTGAGTATCATTAACTTGATGAAGATCATATTGCCTCATAGGCTCAAATTTTCTCATTACATTTTCTCACAACATGACTGAATCAATCAGGCTGTATCTAAGAGTCTCCATTAGCCTCCAGGGTAAGGAAGTGGAAGGGAGCGGTGTCTCAAAATGTCACATCGACTCAGACGCTTCCGTATATACATGAAGGACAATAGACCACGGTCACATGCGTAAACACAGCAACTCAGACAAAGCACAGACTTTCCTGAGCTGTGTGGCACAGCTGCAGATGTTAAACAAACTGTATCTGAGGCCTTCTGATAATGATAACAGGGCAGAAACTGGAGTAAACGTCTGTTAGCGAGTACATTATGGATTAGTTGTGTTTGGTGTAACCAGATGCAGAATTCTCTTGTCATATGAGAGGAAAATTGCTTTGTGTATATAATATAAACTATATTTGTCTACTGTAATTTCCAGCTGAAATCATTCCACAATGAACTGCTCACAGAACTGGAGAAAAAAGTGGAATTGGATGTTCGCTACTTAAATGTAAGTATATAAACATACAAAATCACAAATATTTAGGTTGTGATCACTTTCGCGATATTCTGCCAAAATTTAGTGGATGAAAAAAATCTGTTGCCTGTGGTCAATAGTGTAGCGATGTATGAAGTGCA